CACACACTCTCCCACTAACGTCCGCGCGCTCACACACTCGCCCACTAACGTCCAAGCGCTCACACACCCGCCTACTAGTGTTACATCGGTCAATGTTATTGTAGAATGATTAGGTTGTGGGCAGGAATTGGAGTACCAAACGTCCACTGCTTTTCCTTAGTTTATTATAAAAATATATATATCTTGTACACCGGGCCAGGAGCTAGCTAGCGTGTGTAAGGGGAGCGCGTGTAGACGCTCTGATGCCCGGGCTCTGTCTGAGGTCTGAGGTCTGCAGCAGAGTAGATTGCATTCAAATCTGCTGACGACGTAGTTGATACATTAAGTTGTTTAGCTTAAGAAGGTATTAGGTCACCCTATGTGTATGGCGCCTAACTGGCGTCCAACACCGCTCGGCACGCTATCATCGGCGTCCTCGGCGATCTGCTTGAAAAATTTGAAAACCCTTGGGCGTGTACCTAACTAACATTATATACAGTGATTTACCTATAGTGGCCGTAAACAACAAGTTTTGAGACGTCCAACACCGTCTCGGACATGCATGAATAATGAGTACAATGCTTAAATATAATCCTTAAACTAAGCTATCCATGGAGCATCATGACTAACTAGCTAAATGTCTGCGCGAACTGGAGGCAGGAGGTCCGGCTGCAGGTAGAGGCGGTAGCGGTAGAGTCAGCGGACCAGAAGTTGCGCGTAAGAATTCATGATGCTCAGCCACAGTGTTACCTGTTAAGTAGATTATAAACGACAGACACTAACGTAGGCACAATATATTACATGGCAATACATAGAATAAGCGACATTTCCACTAAAATATGGAGAGCATGAACGTGGCAGGAACACGAGGACCTACATAGTGTATAGAGACACGACAAGATCAATAAACTACGAATAAAGATACCTGAGGTGGAAGGGTCTATATACATTGAACCGAGGGTTGCGGAACGATTGTTGTAATCACTCTTAAACTAGTCATAAAACTATGAATTCTCAGGTGCTAATCCATCACGAACGTAGTCTCCCTCTGCCATGTATGAACAGGCAGGGAGAGGGGAGCAGATAGAACGCATCCATTGTCCCTTACAGACTGGAACACCAAAGTCACACGAAGATGAATCATCAGACTGTTGGTAGTGTACTGTCGAAATAACAGGTCTGTACAGAAGATTGTATGTGTGAGTACGTGGTGGGGTAGTATCGCTGGGCGTGTCTGAGACCGAAGTGGGTGTCACAGTGGTAGGGTCACACGGTGCGTTGTCAGGGACAGGAGTCGGGGTGTCATCGTCAACAGTCAGACGGGCTAATTTCATGTGGTTGAGATGCTCATGTACTTGTTCTCCAGTGGCTAGGTTTTCCAGCTTGTACTTATTACCTGTGATATGCTCAAGAACTCTGTAAGGACCAAGAAACTTCTCAGTCAGTTTGTACATGGGACCATCTCGTCGCTGGTTGAGGATCATTACTAAAGATCCAGGTCCTATCCTCGTAGGTTTAGCATGAGAGTTTTGTAACCGCGTGAAATCGGCAGTAGCTTTAGAGAGATGTTCCTTGATCCTCTGGAACACCAGTCGAGTGTCTCTCCGTTTGACCTTAACATAGTCCTCATAGTTGTAGAGTGGCGCGGGCGGCGCGGAGATGATGGCATTAGGAAATCTCATGTCTGTCCCAAATAGCACAAAGTGAGGTGTCTCCTATGGAGGAGTTGACAGAGGAGTTTATCGAACATTGGACGATTGGCATAAGATCATCCCATTTGTGACTGTCCTGATTGACTGTCACTCTGAGTGTGTCAAGGACCTTCTTGTTAGTTCTTTCAGCAAGGCCATTGCTAGCTTGTTGATAAGGCATTATATTACACTTTTTGATGTTGTACAATGTAGCCAGTTGTTCCAGAACAGAATTGTTGAATTCCGGGCCGTTGTCAGAGAGTATAACTCTGGGTGGACCATACCTGCAAATTATATGATCACGAAAGGCACTAGCTATAGTTTCACTTGTAGGTGAATTACATTGTTTATAATTGATCGATCGTGTGCCTAGCGATCGTATGAGACGTTCACTGATTTGCCACTGAGGCCTCATAAATTGATCTTCAGCTTTAAATGATGATATTAAGATCAACCTCTGTTGTTATAGTCAGCTGTAATCTCCTTAGTATAATGCTACTGGAGTTGTACAATCAGCTGACAAATTTAGATTTCTACTGGTATTGTTTATCTGTATGCATAGGTCTCCTCAGGCTTAATACTGGGCCTGAGAGTAATTTACCTCCTGCATAATTTACCATGGTTATACCCTGAAATTTAGTACGGCTACCGATGAATCAATGGTAGTTGTCTGTACCTACAAGGATTCCGAAGTCGGTGAGGTGATCAGACTTAATATTATCTGCCAATTTTATTTCTCTATTTCTCAGGAATTTGGCAGTACCTCCCAGACCTTGCACTTGTACGTCGGCTGGAATTTTGTCCACCACAATGGCTTGTACTTGACAGACGTAGCTGCCTAATCGTACTGATGGTTGTACCACCTGGTAGACTTGAGGTCCTGTATCTGCTAGGAACCCTGAGATATTGAATGTCATCTGGGTTACAGGCCTTAATTGTAGTTCATCTGCCAACTTTTCAGTGACATATGTTCTCTGGGAACCTTGGTCAAACAACCCATGGGGTATGGACCTTGGTCCTCTTATTCTGGATGGTAATTTTGTCAGTAGGCAAAGTCGTATTCCCTTTGGACTCTGCCGATTGGACACTAACTGTTTGGTGCACCTTGCATGTGATGGGAATGCTATCTTCCACCTTGGGTTTGGGATACGTTAATTTTGTATGTTTGCAGTACTGCATGGTGCTTACCTCTTCCTCTTCTACCCCAATTTCTGGAGACGCTTAATACGAGTGTCTCTGTCTGGATAATTGGCACAACGGTATGGTGAATGTTTCATTTTGCAGAACATACATGTTCCCCAGCCTACTGCACGCTTGGAAGTTACCGGTTAGGGTGAATAAGTAACAGTAGGCTTGGAGGATTCCGCTGCAGAAGTGCCAGATTTTCTCTAACTTGGTGTGAAAATAATAGGTTGATGTATATTTGGGGTAGTTGTAATTTCCTCTTATTTTCTATTTCTGAAAGCTCGCAAGAGGCATTAACTTCCTCATTTGCACATCGTTTGCCTATGATAGAACGCAAATCATCAGTGATGTCCTGTACTGTCAGGATGGTGTTATGTTGATGTGTGTATAATTCATCTAGTATGTCGCTGGACAATTTTAGTTGAAGGACTACTTTGGTCATCCATTCACTAGTGGTTATATCAACCTTAAGAATGAATGTTCTTAGCAGTGACTCAAACTCAATGTCAAAGGATTGTAATTAGTCAGCAGTCTGATCAGGTTGAGGTAAGTCCAGCAATTGAAGTACTTGAAGTATGACAGTTTTCTCATTACCAGCATTATCCATAGGAAGCTGGACTGAGAAATTATTGTTGTCATTATTTTGATTTACATTTTTTACTTCTGGTTCAGCTTCACCTTTAATTTCAGTTTGGAGGCATATTAACTTAGTAGCCTCAGGTATTGGGTTTTCAGAATCCACAGAGACTGGATAAATTGTCAGAACTGTTTAATTTCTGGTGGTATAATACTGGGTGATGCCGTAGTGGGTGAAGCTTTATCCTCGTTGATTAGTTCGATGAAATGATCTAATCTGCCTTAACATTTATTCTCAAAAAGAGGCAGGTCATCCATAATATTATCTACTTTAATTGATGTATTGGCTGCTTGCTCTGACACAATCATTCTGTGTAAGTGCTCCAACCGGGCTTGAGTTTCTTCTTCATATTGTGCTAGGACAGGAATGGTTCTACATCTTCAACTACTATGTCGTCATCGTGGACCTGATTTTGGTAAGATTTCCTATTTATTTTCAATAGATCCAATTGGGTTTGAATCTGTAATAGTGGGATTTTCAACCGACGATAATTAATTATAGGCTCATATAACAACTTTTCATATTGGCTGAGATCTCTTGTCAGTTGACCTTTACGTGCTGCTAAAGCACGTTTTGTTTTCTGAGGATTAGTCATAGTGACTTGTTAATTGGATATTACTGGTTCATAAATTGTGAGCAAGTACTGATGGAGTAGCCTAGGGTAAAATTCTGCAATCACTAGGCTGTAATCCAACATCTTCTAGAGGTTAGCACTTAAAATTAATACACACACACACATATATATATATATATATATATATATATATATATATATATATATATATATATATATATATATATATATATATACACGAACAAGCCTGAACGGTCTCCAGGCATATATGCAACAGAAAACTCCCACCCCATAAGTGACTCGAACCCATACTGCCAGGAGCACTCTGCATCTGGCGTACAGGACACCTTAACCACTCGACCAACATGACCGGACAAAAGAGGATGGTAGCAGAGGCTAATTCCCCATGCCCCCGCCGGCACTCTGATGGTAATCTTGGGCATGGTATTGTATCAAATCACTTCATTCTTTGGGGCACACGTGAGGAACACAAATGTGAACATGCCTGAACGGCCTCCAGGCATATTAGCCTCGGCTACCATCCTCTCTTTGTCCAGATCTCAATAAGTGGTAGAAAGATCACATTTACTCTATTTTGGTACTAATAATTAAGTTAATTCAAATGAGATGTTTTATGATGTTAAAAGTCCAAAGACTACTGTATTAAGAATAATTCCCAACAGAATAGCTGGTGAATTAATAGCGCTATGTGGCAATGATATCTCTTTTCTATGAGAGGAAAATTCCACTGGGCCACGTCTTCTGAGTAAATTTATTTATACAACAGCAGGAATATTAGCTGCATGTTTTATTTAATATTAGTAAATGGTGTCGGGTTTTCCGACAATGCATTCACAAACATCAGCATGAAATATTAGTAAATTAGCACATACAGAAAAACAAAGTTTTAATTTAACAATTTTATTGAATGCACCGTAATATCCAACATAAGAAAAATCCATAACATTTCATTGAGACATAATGCCTATTAAGGTTGAAACATGTGTGTAAAGAAAAGCGATGTATCTACGAGCAACACAACACCCGCACAATAAACAAATATCTGATATGTACACGTTATTGACAGATTAAGTCACCATAAGATTGGCTTACTATTTAACATATTAGTGAATGTGAAGATAAATTATTGACCAGGAAATAAAGAAAAGCTCTTAAATGTCAAAATATATTAGTTTTCCAATATTAAAGCCGTATTTTCTCATCAGCAGGATGTCTTTCCTTCTGGAAAATAAAGTGAAACTAAATCACAACTAGACTCAGTACAGAGTTGTATGGTGCACAAGCTTCTCTTAAAGGTTAGCGTAGAATATGTTGTGTGCGAGCGGTCCGCAAAATTTAAAGTCCTTAGTGTATTTCATTATGTCAAACTCCTTCCTTTTTTTGATCTCCCTAGGAAGGGGCTGGAACTCTGGGTTGGGACTGAGGCTCTCTTCATAGAGGTAGATGGAGTAGCGGTGGGCCTTAGCTCCGGGTTTGGGGTTCGGCGGAATGTACTCTGGGAAAAGTCACAGAACCACCACATGAAATGTCATCAGAGTAAGAGTTAAGAGACTAATGCTTTTACGCTGATTCTCTGGCATCTATTGTAATGAAATACAGTTGATAAATGTCTAGAACAAATTAATTTTGAAGAGTACAAGGATTGTCTTATTTTTTTTTTTTTACTTTCAGGAATTTCAAATGTGTTTCAAAAAATTAGGGGGGGAAATAGAAAAGGTTGTTGTGAGTGGTATGTTGACACGGCAGAGTTACTATGCCTACTGGCTGTTGACAACTTACTCGCGTTCTCCTTCCCTGAGACCTGCATCCCCAGCACAATATCAACTCCCTGTTTGATACACATACATAATTAATTATCTTAACAAATTAGTTTTCACTGATTAGTCACGTAAAATAATGTTATATATATATATTTTTTAATTATTAATTATGGCTTTAAATAAATGCTTGAACGATGACAACACATGAATAAATCGTGGCTACAAATATTATAAATTAAATAGTCTAATAAAGTTCACCATAAATTTCAGTCACGTGCAATAATATGAAAACAATCCCTTTTAAAACAGTGTTTAGGAGGAAATGTTTTCCTTTTAGACATACTGTAGTTCTAAAACATCATCAGATGCTTTATTACTTTTACAATCAATTCTAGCATTATTGATAATGTGAGCCCTTACTTACTCATGTAAACAGCAGAGTACATACCTGATATACGTTTCTCCAGGAAGTATTAATAATCACACCCGGACACGAAACTTGTACTTACACTCACCGAGCTCCAGCGTGGCCAATTACTGACCTTATTCCCCCAGGATGCTTCACTCAACCATTACCACACTCCCAGGTATCTATCTTACGGCTAAGTGAACGGAGACTTCAGGTCAAGTGACATGTGCCCAACCGTTTCTGGCCCGCCCAGGGATTGAACCTGGGTCTGTTGGTTGTAAGATGAGGACATAGCTGACTGTGTTACAGGATGGCGGCCACTTCCCTTAAACCACACAACATCTCTACCACTCACTAGTTATGGGGGAAGCAAGATCTCTCTACCACTCACTAGTTATGGGGGAAGCAAGATCTCTCTACCACTCACTAGTTATGGGGGAAGCAAGATCTCTCTACCACTCACTAGTTATGGGGGAAGCAAGATCTCTCTACCACTCACTAGTTATGGGGGAAGCAAGATCTCTCTACCACTCACTAGTTATGGGGGAAGCAAGATCTCTCTACCACTCACTAGTTATGGGGGAAGCAAGATCTCTCTACCACTCACTAGTTATGGGGGAAGCAAGATCTCTCTACCACTCACTAGTTATGGGGGAAGCAAGATCTCTCTACCACTCACTAGTTATAGGGTAGCAAGATCTAAGAGAAAAAGTTTTCTTTCTGGTAAGCCCTTGGTGCTTAGTTAGAGAGCACTACAGATGCTTCACAACAGTCTTGATATATGCGCTTCACCACATATTATAGAACAACCACCAACCCCTTCTTGTTTCGGCTCCATAAGACAGCTGCTTGGCTATACATTATACATCACTGCTAATACAGATGTTAACCTTCATAGTTACCCCTACCACAACTCATCAACCCACCACAGCAACCTATCAATCCACAACCTACTAAAACAGCCCACCATAACAACCCTTCAACCCACCCCAACCCATCAGCCCACCACAGCAACTCTTGTAACCCCACCACAACAACCCTTGTCACCCATTTCAACAACCCCAAACAACCCTTGTTACCCCACCACAGTAACCAATCAACCCATCTTATCATCCCCACCACAAAAACCCGTCACCCTACCACAATAACCCTTATCACCCCCCACAACAACCCTTATCACCCCCATCAACCCATTATCACCCCACCAAAACAACCAGTCATCTCACCACAACAACCCATCAACCTACCACAAAACCCGGGCCAGACCTTATAAAAGAGATAATGTTAAGTTACCTTGATCCCCCATCGCATCCAGTGGATAAAAACATTGTCGCCCTGCAGCCCCTTGGCATCAGGGTCGACCATCATCACCACGTAGTTCTTCTCCTGCAAGATATCACACACAACATTAATATAGCAAGAGGTTACCACTACAAGATAAAAAAAAGTCGGTCTACATGCCATAGGCCTACATGACTGAACCGAGACCCTGGTGCCCACTTCATACATGATCACGCCACCCCCCCTCCCTCCCTCTTCCTTATCTCTAGAAGCGGACTGGATGGCCATTGTAAAGTTTAACACAAGAATTCAACACGACTATACGGCACAAACACAGTGGAGGTATTATTTAGTACCAGAAAGGAATACCACATTCAATGTGATTACGCCTACAAACTGTTAATTTCAACCGAGCCATTTCGACATTTGTTGCTATTCACTGTCTACTTCTCGATTCTGTCCATATATCATTCTTAGCCACTATTTATGTTGTTCCTTTTCTAAAGGATCTCACTCTTTAGTTTTGCATTATATCCTTATTCTAAAATGCTGTCCTTAACCTCACCTCACAGTTTCTCATTCCAACTCCACCAGTTTATACTCTCCTCACTGTCATCCTGTCTTTCATCTTCAGTATATCGTTTTAAATCGCCGACTCCCATCACTGAAGACAATTTCTTATTCCTGGGCGCCAAGCAAATAGTAAGATTAAAGCTCCACACTCAATACGACACAAGTCAAGGGGATAAGTAGGTACCGAGCCGGGATGTATGAGAACACACATCTAACTAATAGCAAGATAGAAGTCTGCAAACTATAATGAGATGCCTCGCAGCTCTCAGTCATCTCAAACATTATAGATGCACCAGATATTTGCTTGTGGCATTTTGCAGCAAGGTTATGACGCGGCCTTTTAGCATCATGCGAAGGTGTTGGTTGTTCTGGGATGCGACACTTGCCACAAGTGATACACTATGGCACATTGTCCGTCCGCCTGTTTGTCTTGCTGTGGTGACCCTTTAACATAACAAGGGATGGAGTCAACCGCCTTAAAGGTGAGGGAGCCATGGCTGCCTCGGACGCAGGAAGAAGGGGGAGGCAGGAGGGCGGTGCAGGTGAGGGGATAGCGTGACTTGCCTTCACGCACACGCTCCGCCCCACCTCCCAAACACTCAAACTTCACACCACTCTACATTACAAGAAATACCACCATATCTGAAACTTGGTATATATACATGTCTTCACTCATACACACCACATTATATATATATATATATATATATATATATATATATATATATATATATATATATATATATATATATATATATATATATATATATATATATATATATATATATATATATATATATATATATATATATATATATATATATATATATATATATATATATATATATATATATATATATATATATATATATATATATATATATATATATATATATATATATATATATATATATATATGCAACTGAAAACTCACACCCTAAAAGTGACTCGAACCCATACTGCCAGTAGCACTATGCAACTGGTGTACAGGACACTTTAACCGCTCGACCATAACGACCGGACTAAGATGATGGTAGCCGAAGCTAATTGCCCATCATCCCGCTGGCGCTCTTTTTTTTTTCCAGGGATATTCCAGATCGGGCCCTAAGCCTCTGTCTGGCCCATTAAGTGTTGCTTGTTTCTGTTTTACTTTGGCGGAGTATGAGTATTTATGATTCGTATGGTCGCTTCAGTAAGATTTTGCCGTATGTGTTTAACAACTTCTGCTCTGTTGAATCTAAGTTGAAATCTTAATGGGTTTGTAACTGTGCACTGTGTCAGATAATGTTCCAGTGGTCTGTCGGGCATTTCTCCACAGTGTTGACATTTCCTCTCATCTTCCGGAACCTGTAAGCCTATTTCCCATGCACATGTGTATCCAAGCCTGATGCGATGTAAGTGTACTTCTGTTGCTCTACCACTCCCTTTCATCAAACTAAGTGGTTCGTAGTTGGTCGAGTACTTGTAACAACCTGCAGATCCTGATGTTGCAACTGCTGTGTTGTGGTCACTGTACATCTTCTGCATTGGTCTGTTTTTAATTACTTTCTTAATCTGTGATAGACTCTGTGGTATGTAAATGTCTCCATTTCTTCTCTTAGTTGCAAGTTTTGCAGCTTCGTCTGCAATGTCATTTCCTATTATTCCCACATGACTTGGCACCCAGTTGATAAGTACCCGACGTCCTTGTCATTTGAGTGTTTGCATTAATGATATAACATTTGTGATCAGATGGATGTTATCACATATGTGTTCTTGTTGCAAGGTTTCAATGGCGGTTCTTGAATCTGTATGTATGATAACATGTTGTCGGACTTCAGCAAGAGCATGTTCCAAAGCCTTTTGAATGGCTAGCATCTCTGTAAAGTTGAACACCCATTTCAGTCTCCAACTATTTACAGTTTCCTGCTTTAACTGCAGCTCCGGTTTCTTGTCCCTGCTGGTCTACTGATCCATCTGTGAAGTGAAGCTGTCGTATGCCAAGTTTGTTACATATATACTGTGTATATATATATATATATATATATATATATATATATATATATATATATATATATATATATATATATATATTGATGTATACTGGCAGCAGGTTTTCTTTTAAACATATCTCATTAAATATGACCGCATATTCTGTATTTACTATCATCTGACTTAGGGCTTCTATCCCTCTAACTGTTTTCCTAGCATCAAGGTTTAGCTGAAAGAGGAGTTCTCCAAAACTCATTTTCGTAATTTCAAGGTGAAGAAAAAAGTAAATTACTATAGAATGTATTAGACTTATTTATACAATTTGCACAACGTTTCGAACCTCCATGGTTCATTCTCAAGTGAAAAGAAATTACAAAACTCGTTGATTTATACCCGTACGGGGTCAGGTGATAAGTCAAGTACAATAAAGGTAAAAACAAGGGGGATAAATAGGGGACGAAGCACACACAAAGATTAATCAGGTGTAATTGGCCTGTTATGTTGGACATTGTCTTCTGTGTTGGCATCGTTATGTTCTGGTCTTGTCCTTACTCTCATGGTGGGTAGAGTAAATAGTTCCGTGATTTGGGTGTTCGTGGTAGGTTGTTCTATTGTTATGTGAATTGCTTCAAGAATTTGTAATCTTCTTGCATCTTGGGTTTAGTCTAATATACAGGTATTTTTGTTCAACATTTCTCTTGTTAGTGTGATGTCATTGGCTTGTCTCATGTGATTCCTGGGGGCACCGGATTGAAGATGACAGGTCAAATGCCTCGTCAGCTTGGTCGACGTCATACCTATGTACTTAGATTGAAGGTTACATCCTTCGTGGGGGCAAGTGTACATGTATACAACGCTTGACTGCTGTAGAGGGTTCTCCGTCGGCTTCGGGCTGTTTTTGATAAGGAGTTCGGAAGTCTTCTTGGTTTTGTAGAATATGATCAGGTCTATGTTCTATAGTCTATCTATATGTTCTATCAGGTCTATCTATCTATCTATCTATCTATCTATCTATCTATCTATCTATCTATATATCTATATATATATATATATATATATATATATATATATATATATATATATATATATATATATATATATATATATATATATATATATATATATATATATATATTCCGAGCATCAATGTCCCGCGGCCCGGTCTCTGGCCCGGCCTACACTGAGGAATGGGTAAAAAGCATAAATGCAAGTCAAATGTGAGGGTCAAGATTGGCGGTTATTTGACGGACGAGATGAGATCAGACCAAACACGTTAGCTGCGACAACCACCACACCACCTGGGGTCATGGCTTGCCTGAGTGTCACCTGGGGTCATGGCTTGCCTGAGTGTCACCTGGGGTCATGGCTTGCCTGAGTGTCACCTGGGGTCTTAGCTTGCCTGAGTGTCACCTGGGGTCTTAGCTTGCCTGAGTGTCACCTGGGGTCTTAGCTTGCCTGAGTGTCACCTGGGGTCTTAGCTTGCCTGAGTGTCACCTGGGGTCATGGCTTGCCTGAGTGTCACCTGGGGTCATGGCTTGCCTGAGTGTCACCTGGGGTCATGGGTTACCAAGACCCCAGGTTAGTGGGCCAATTAGAACTAAAAAAGAATACCTAGCATGACCAATGGTAATAAGACTAAATAATAAATGTGCCATTACCCTCAATTACCAGACCTGTTGACTCCCTAAATTAGGGAATTAATCCCAGTTTCATAAGTCCAAATATAGGCCACAAATGCCACGCCATAATCTGTCTTGTGGGTTATATAGCAACTTCCTGTTCGACAAATAAACAAGATTCGTTCGGGGAAAAATTGGAGCTTCGCTTACGCTAAAGGTAATAACGAATTCGGGGGGTGAGCAACGATTGGCTGGGCGGCCTGGTGACGTCACGCGTGTGGGAGGGTTCATTCACAAATCGTGACGCAGGCAGTCGGGAGTAATGACGTCAGCAAAGTGATCAATACGGCACAGGACCCAGACGAGGGAACGCCGCGGGGCGCATGGTTCTCTCTCGCCTATTCTACTACCCTCTACTCCATTAAATTTATTTCTAAATATATTTCACGCCGCTAAACTTTACATTTGACATTTTCCTTTTAGCTCTCTTGATGACTATTTCCCGAAACTGTCGTATTTTGGTTACTTTTCAACGAAAGAAATTTATAAAATATATCATACAAATTTAGCTTTTTTCAACATAATTTGTGTACAGTAATCTGGGAGTCTGGTCTTTGGGTTGTTGAACATTGATCTACGTTATGTTTGCTGACGTGTTGGTCCTCTGTTTCCTACACGTAATGAAACAGGTAACACACCGTGGCACACCTGTGGTGGAGCACACACCTGTGGTGGAGCACACACCTGTGGTGGAGCACACACCAGTGGTGGAGCACACACCTGTGGTGGAGCGCACACCAGGGGTGGAGCGCACACCAGTGGTGGAGCACACACCAGTGGTGGAGCGCACACCAGTGGTGGAGCACACACCAGTGGTGGAGCGCACACACCAGGGGTGGAGCCTACACCAGGGGTGGAGCACACACCATGACACACCAGGAG